GTAAGCGTAGAAAGTGTATTCTACAAACACCCAGTAAACACAATGATGATCTCAAGCACACAACTCTCGTTTATTTATACATCATAGAAACGTCCTTGAGACAGTTACGAAAATAGCACACTAAAATACACAAGTAGCCAATCACAGCATATGATTTGTCCTGGTGAGAAATGAAATCTCAAGGTCAACTGATCAGCCCATGCTGGCTTCAAACGTGTAAACCGAAATAAGGCATTTTATCAAGCGAGTTTTGGGGATATAACATCCCCAACACCAGCCTACTCTGTCTTTTCTACACGTAAAACAAAATTCGCCTAGTTTATTCTTAAAGTTCACTGTCAATATTATCGCATGTAAAAACTGTTGGTTATAACCACACTCAATTGGAACTTTATTTTTGCCATCTTATAATTTTATGTCTATAATTTAATGCTTCCAAAATAACTGTTAATTAAGATTTTCATCTCTCTAAATTTATCTATTGAAATCTCAAGGTTAACTGATCAGACCATGCTGGCTTCAAACGTGTAAACCAAAATAAGGCATTTTTTATCAAGCGAGTTTTCTGAGGGATCTAACATCCCTCTCAATTCACCTCTACCCAGACTTTCAGTCAACGGCTAGCTATTAAACACTTACGCTCGTCACCTTTCCACCCGCAATCGAATGGGCAGGTGGAAAGATTTGTAGATACGTTTAAAAGAGCATTGCTTAAGTTAAAAGTGGAGAGGACACCAGCCGACGCGTTACAGAATTTCTTGTACGTCTATCGGATAACACCAAATGAGTTGTTAACGGAGCAAAAGTCCTCAGCACTGTTTGAATTTCACAATGATTGCATCGTCATCAAACTTTCACTAACCTATTAATTTCATGTAAACATGAATTATTTCTATACATGAAATATGAAATCAATCAAGATTATTCGTGTGTCACACCTGATTAGTAGAGATCATGTTATCAACTTAACTACTTACTTAGTTACTTCCGACTGTTACCCTCAATGGAGCATAGGTCCGCCCACCAGTTTTACTCCAACCTAACTCTGTCCTGGGCTTCCATTTACAGTTCTGTCCAATCTTTGTATATTTGTCTCATGTCTTTCTCTATTTCTCGGCGTAATGCTGTTCCTTGGCCTTCCTCTTCTCCTTTTACCTTGAGGGTTCCAATGAGAGGCTATGTCTTCTGACGCAGTTAGGTGCTTTTCATAGTAGTGTGTCCTATCCACTTCACCGAGCTTCTTCCTGATTTCCTGCGTCCACTGGAATCTGGTTTGTTCTCTCCCACAGTACGGTTGGTGCTGATAGGTGTCTGGCCAATGAATACTGAAGTATTCTGCGTAGTCAACTGTTAATAAATACTTGATCTGAATGTTGGCTTTGGTAGTCTTTAAAGTTTCCGCTCCATACAGTAGAATTGTCTTGACATTTGTATTGAAAATCCTGATTTTGGTGTTGATTGATATTTGTCTGGATTTTCAGATAACTTTCAATTGCACATATGCGGGCGGCGTTATCATGTTATCAGGTACAATGGAATCATTCCAAGTGAGCCATCGTGTGCCTTCATAATCACCTTCCCAACGGGGTTCCATCCTATCAGCTATAACATTGCGGAAACTATAGAAATCTGAACCCTCAACCAGAGTTTAGATGTCCAGTAGAAATTCATCACATTCCTGCATTCGTCTGTAGTTTTTCACCTCTGTCTGTCTATATTCTTCACTGGGGACTTACGGTCTTGCGCCCAAACGCCCTAACCTCTGAACCACTAAGCCAACACCTAACAGTGTTAATGTCTAATTTCTATCAATCCATGGTCTTCTGCAACGTTATCCACTGTCTTCACAGAACACTGCTTCACATCCAAACATGGTGGAACTCCACTAGTCACGACTTCTCACTAGAATTTGCAGTTCTATACCCAGACAAAACGGCCGTCACCCAGTGCTTCCAGGTTCCTAATGGTGATCTAAGATTGATCGATTCATGATTTCAAAAAGTAACTCGACAATCAACACAACACCTTATTGCATATTGTTAGGTTCGTCCCCAAGTATCCTTGAAACTATTACAGTTAATCTTAGTCGATAAACGTGAACGAGACAATGAAACAGATTCCAGGTAGGCTACCTTGATCCGAAATTGCTAAAGACAAGTCTTGGTATAGCGTAGAAAGTATATTCTGCAAACCAACCCAGCAATCACACAATACAATCAAGTACTCATCTCTCGTTTATTTATACATCATAGAAATGCCCTTGAGACAATCACAATAACATCCCACTAAAATACACAGCAACCAATCACAACCAAGGATTTTCCTGGGGGGAAATTAAAATCTCAACGTCAACTGATCATCCCATGCTGGGTGCAAACATGAAATCCAAAATTAAGGCATTTATCAAGCGAGTTCTGGGGATCTAACGTCCCCCAACACATATATTCTTCACTGTCTAATTATTTAACACACTTCTTTAGTTCTAATAATATTTTGCGATTATTATTTTAAGTCTGTTTATCCAAGTTTAACCAACTACTTACAATATTGCACTACTGACTAGAACTTTTGTCATTGTATTTTATAATTCTTGTCATTACTAAGAATACAGCTATTCCTTTGTATTATCAACTTGTGCTTTCATCTATTATATGTAGTCACGTATTCTATTTTATTGTGACGTCCAATAAAACTTTCATTGTAAAGTAATAAAGATTGTTGAGTTTCATCGAAATCACCAATCAATCATGGTTAGACCATCACTAGTAGAAACCTGGAAGCACTAGACGGCTGTTTCATAACGGTATGAAACTCATCACTGACGATGAACATCCATGGTTTAGAGGTTAGGCATTCATGCACAATACCGAAGGACCTAGATTCGATTCATTTGAGCATAAGTCGTGGATATGCATTGCCACTGATGAGTCACATATCAAGAGGAAACTGCCATCTAAGGCTGACTATTTCTAGTGTTGATTAATACCTTTGCTAGTGTATTTGAATTATCCTTACTATATATTCGAAATCATCAATCAATCATTGTTAGACCGCCATTAGAAACCTGGAAGCACAGGAAGGGTGTTTCGTCCTAGTATGGGACTCATCAGCAGTGCGTATCCGACTCCTGCACCTTGAAGGATTCGAACCCGGGACCTTCGGTATTGTGCGCAAACGCCTAACCAGCGGACCACTGGGCCGGCATCCAACAGAGTCGTGGATGCGCACTGCTGATGAGACTCATACCAGGACGAAACGGCCGTCTTTCAGGTTTCTAATGGTTGTCTAACCATGATTGATCGATTGATGATTTCAAATGAGTAAAAAAACACAAAATTTTCAAAGCTCTAATTGAAAATATTCTTGCTACTACTAATAGTACATTTGTCTTCATACTAACTAATTAGTACTTTTCAACCCCAATTGTTTTGTGTAGATTAGAACAACAAAAATTGAAGTGCACCTCAGTGCAGCTTGTCATTAGGCTATTGTAATCTAATTAGGTGAAAAAATAGTAAAACAACTCATCAAAGCAATTTATCATTATGATATTTATATAATCGCTAATCATACAATGAATTAGATTAATAGTAAAGAGACTTTGTGTACTCCTACCCAAGAATGATGGTTCGTTCTGCAGTCGCG